CCTTTGGAGGCAAATATTATTATCCCCATTCTCCAGAAGAGAAAACTGAGGCTCACAGTTGAAAAGTTATTTGCCTAAAGTCCTAAAGCAAGTAAAAGGCAGACTTGAGATTTAAAGGCAGGGAAGAGGCCAGGGCCTATATCCTGGCCTGCTGGTCGGATATCCTGTGCCTTTTGGGGCAGGAATGTGTCTTGAATGTTACTTGTGTACATGTGGATGTGTATACAGGTAAGCAAGTATGTTTCTGATCGCTCCGGAAATGCTAGGAGTAGCTAGAGTCAGACCCTCACCCCACCCATCTCCTCTCCTGGCAATGGAGCCAGGATTCTCCCCTCCTGGGACAATAACTATTCCTCACCCAGACACAGGCCCAGCTGTCCTCCTCCCACTCAACAGCTGACCAAACACCTGCCTCCCTCCCCTCCCTAATTAGGGGGTATGCCTCAGAGGGGGGTGGGAGGCAGGACTCTAGGGTATTCATCTGCTTAGGCTGTTCCTCTTTAGTCTTCCAGGCTGAGCTCAGACCTGGGGCATAAGCTGACTTAGAATGCCCCTTCCTCTTCAGGTTCACTGTCAGGGTTTCTCAACCACAGCACTACTGAGGTTTTGGACCACATCATCCTTTGTTGTGAGGGGCTGTCCTGTCTGGTAGGATGGTTAGCAGCATCCCTGGCTTCTACCTACCAAATGCCAGTAGCATCATCCCAATGTGACAACCAAAAACTGTCTCTAGACATTGCCAATTGAGAACCACTAGCCTAAGCCAATCCACACCCAAAGATGTGAAGAGAACAGAGGGGGAAGGGATAGAAGTACTGGTGTTTGGCAGAGCTCATGGGGCTAAGAAGGAACATAACTAGAGCTAAACAAAGCAGCCCTATGGCTCCCCACTCACCACCTCCCACTCCTGAGGCTTACAGGAGCCCACCCAGTGTCAGACTGAGTGGTGTGGGGGACAGCTCAGGGAGAAGACTCCAAAACTAAAAGTACAAACACCCCAGCACCACCAACCAGCAGGGCTGATGCGTATAGGCACAGGACCAGGCCCACTCAGAGAGCTGCCAAGTCTAGCCCCACACTCAGCCCCCATAATGGCTCAAGGCTAGGGCAGCCAGGAGCCAATGCACACACACTCACTCATTGATTCATGAAATAATGGCAAGGCCCCATACAGCCTCACCCTCTTCTCAACACAACCCTGCCCCCAGTCCCAGCCATACAGGGCCAGGCCGGCCCCAAACTCAGTCCTGGGTGCACAAAGCCCCTATGGGAGCTGCTGACCATCCTCACACACCCCATCAGTCCCTCTGGCTCCAACTCCAACTATGCCTACCTCTGACACCCAGTCTCTGTATAAACAGCACTGCACACAACCAAGCAATGCACATCCTCACCGCTCCATCTCCTTCTACCTGGAGGGTGCCTGAGGGGGTCTGCCAGAGACTCCCTGCATTTCCCCCTCTTACAGCCACCTTGGCAACAGGACCGCACTTACTGCACTTACTCTGCTTCATCGCCCCAGAAAGTGCCCCCAGACACCCAACAGGAAGGAAGTGCTCCCAGCATCCTTCCTCGGCCTCAGCATAAAGCCAAGGCCCCACTCTGGGGGGCGCTGGCGTCCCATTGTCCCAAGCCCTCCCCACACACACAAGGAACCCCAGCCCCCGCCCGCCGAGATCCCCAGCGCCACTCACAGGACGCAGAGCGCGAAGGCACCCGCCACACTCTCACTGTCTCGGACCAGGAAGCTGCCATCGCGGCCTGCCCGGGCCAACAGTTCCTCGGCGGCAGCGCGGCTCAGGTCTCGGTGGTACCAAGCAGGGGCCGGGCTGCCCAGCGCGCCCCCCGGCCCGTTGCCCCCAGGGCCCAGCGCCCCGCACGCCGAGGCCATGGGCCGTGCAGGGCTTAGTGCTGCCCGCGCCCACCGCCCCGCGCCATACCCCCGGCTCGCAGGGGGCTGAGGCTGGGGGTGGGCCCGGGCCCCGGGCCTGAGGATCGGCGGGCCCGCCGAGTCAGGGATCCAGACACGCGCTCCGCCGCGCAGGCCGCCTGGTTCGCCGCGCAGCCGCCGCCGCCTGCAGCGCCGGCTTCAACTTGAAGAGAAAGAAAGTTTGTTCAGAGGCGGCGGGGGAGGGGCAGGAGCGGAGTGCCGAGCGGGAGGCCGGCCCCCGCCCCCGCATTCCCTCGGGACCCGGGACTCCCCAGATCCCACAATGATTCTGCCCCGCCGTCATCATCCTGAGAAGATCCAGCCATCCCCCCAGAGAAGCTCAAGTACCCCCATCCTGTGCCCCGGCAGTTCGGGATCCCAGCCCGCCCCCCTGAGAATGAATCCCCTTCAATAATTGCAATATGACCCCCAACTTCCATAGACGTCTGATTCCACCCCAAATCCTTTCCATTCTGTCCCCCGCCCCAGCCTTACAGAATCAAGTTCCCAAAACCCGCGATGGATCCCACTATGAACTTCCTTCCATCCCTCTCCCCATCGTCCGAGCGCCTCGGACCCCCAACTCCCATGTAATCCAACCCCTCTTAGACCTGAACCCCTAAACTCCACTGGGTCCAGCCCCCTACAAATTCCGTGGGAGAATCCCCTCCATAGAGATCCAAACCCCTACAACCCCCCTCACGAGGTTCAGTGTCCTCGAAACTCCACGTATGGTCCCTGGCAGCCCCTCTCAGCCCGGGCAGAGCCCTTCCCCCCTCTCGGCCAAGTTCCCTGGCACCATCCACCATTCCCCACAGGCCCGGGCCTTGAGGGGTTCAGCAGTCCGAAACCAGGCTTCCCTTTGACCGTCTAGGAAAAAGTTCCCTCCAACCCGTGGGCTCCCGACCTCTCCCCAGAGCCGCAGCCGCCGCGCGCAGAACCCCACCTCCTGGGCTGCTCCGATGCCCCTTTCCCGGGGGAAGCGGCCCTAGACTCTCAGCGGCCACTTAAGATGGCCATCCTCTGCCGCCGCAACCCCCTCGCCTTCCGCCCCGCCCGCCGCTCCGCCCCCGTGGCTCTCCGCTGAGCCGGGGGTAGCGCCCGCGCCCCGCCTCCCCGGGCCCGGCGTCTCCATCCCGGAGCCGCTGACCCGCCTAGTGACCTCGGGCAACTCGCGGCACCAATCCGAGCCTCGGTTTCCCGCTCTGTAAAGTGGGGATAATGTTACGAGGGCCGACTCAATGGGACTGTGCTTGTAAAGCTCTCGGCACAGGGCCTGGCATCCAGTAGGCGCTCCCGAACGGCGGCTATTTTTATTATTAATTAAGGAGTACCGAAGGTGACAGCTGTGTAAACTGTAAAGCGCGGCGACTGTACAGACGAGTATTATTAGCACCCGGCCCCGCCCCCGCTCCAGCTACTCCCTCCAAGTCACCAAACTTGAGCCTTTGTAGGCGGGATGCCGAGTGGAGAGGCCCCCAAACCGGGTCTGCACCGACCCCCCTGGCCCCCTCCCCTCCCTCCCAGTGAGGGACAGCGACCTGGAGCTCAGAAAGTGGGCGGGCCCATAAGAGGGATGTTCGGCCCCCCTCCCCCCAAAAAAGACTTAGCCCCTGGCGGCGCCTCCAGGGAGTCCGCTTCCTGCCCCGCCTCCCCGCCCCCTAGTTCCTTAAAGGCGCAGGCCTGCATCCAGGCTCCCACTGCCGCCAACTCCTGGAGCGCTGTGGCGGGTTCCCCTTTAACCTGGGAGAGAACTTTCGCTTTGCTGAATTGAGTGTCCGAGTCAGTTTCGACGAACTCCTTACTCTATTTCAAATACGCAGTGACTTAATCCAGCTGGAGCAAAGCCTGAGATGTGGAGAGGGCTCTGTGGGGCCTTCTAAACTTGGTAAATAGAACCACTGAGAGACCCTCCCACTAACCCAACAGTGCCTCCAGGCTCCTACAGGAACCCAATAGCTCGCCCGCCAATCTGTGCCTGACTTCTCTCATCTGTCACCTCTTGGTGTGAGGGATGGTGAGTCTGCCAGAAGAGGGCAGCCAGGGGCAGCAGGGAGAGTCCTGGACTAGGAGTATTCACACTACGTATTTTAGTTCTAGCCTGATCAGTCACCGGCCCGGTGTTCTCCGGCAGGTACCCGTGCCTCTCTGGTGATAACTGCAGTCTAAGTATGGAGACAAAGCTTTCCCCATGAGGAAAGGGGAAATGGGAGCCCCAGAGATCAACTGCCTGGGCCCAGCTGCCTGGGGCTATGCAAAGACAGACCAACCCTCCAGAGTAGGCATATCTACCATTCCCAGATGGGGACAAAGGTAAGAGTTTCCATCCCTCTTCCAGCCACACCTCCAGGACACAGCCTGGCTGAACCAGTTCAAGGCTCCTGAGTATTTCCTCCCCAGGAACCTCCCAGACTGCCCTCCTGGTTCTCTGTCTTCCTCCTCTGAGGATCCCAAGCCCCAAATCTGCCCTTTCAGTCCATATTATGTGTAAATTAATTTTCACCCCTGGACTCGCATTCCCAACTTTCTCATTGCAGAGCTGAGCACAGAAGCTGACAGACAAGGCCTGGGGAAACGGCATATTTGCAGACCAATATAAATAATGAAGTCCTAGACCTACCTCTTACTTGGGGGCTACAAGAGTGACAGGATCCCTGAGAACTATTAATGTGCAGACATGGGACTCACATGTTTTGTAGGCAACAACTTTATATTTCACAATCCTGAAGGAAGGAAGGATTATTAGCCCCATTTTAATGAGGAAAAAAACTAAGGTTGTGCCCTGGCCAGTTTGGCTCAGCAGTTGAGCATCGGTCTGCGGACCAGAGAGTCCTGGGATCGGTTTCCGCTAGGGGTACGTATCATAAAAACAAACAAACAGACAAAAAAAAATAAGGTTGAGAGCAGTCAAACAATTGGTTGTGTTCACATAGTTGAGTAGCTGAGCTGAGGTTGAAACCAGGTTTCATTTCTCTAATCTGAAGGAATCCAAAAGCTAAAGAATCTCTCCTCTACTCACAAACTCTCAACAAAAATAATTCATCAGACATGAATATGTCTATCTGTTTATTAGAACTGGCTGCCAAAGAAATCCCAAGCACCACCCTGGAACAAGAACAGGTTGACAGAGAGATGGGTAATGGATGGAGGCATGCTAGGGCTCCTTCAGTTGTGGACCTGAACTGAGCTCAAACAGGTCCTCAAAGCTGGGGACAGACAGAGGGGATGTCTGTGAAAAGCTGGACTCAACCAAGGAGCCAGAGTTGCAGTATCAGGGCCAGGCTGAGAAGGAGAGGCCCAACCCCATGGGGCACGGCCCTAGATTTCATGGCCAATGCATAGAACCTCGCCACCTCCTCGTTGGGGTTGCCCTGGGCTGGGTCAAACCACATCTGGATGCAGCGGCCACTCCCTCGGCTGTATTGGCTGACCTTGTAGGAGTGACTCCAGAGGCCCTCACACAGGGCTGCGGGAGTGGGGAAATAGGACTCAAATGTGCGACAGACGTCCTTAGCTGGACACTTGTTAGATCCTGCAGAAGGAGAGAGGACAGACACAGAAGTTCAGCTCCTGGTTACCTGAGAAGCATTGACCCAATCCCAAATCCTCAAACTGCCTTTTTCCAAACCCCATGTCCATCTCTCCACCTGCCAGGCTCTCACCTGAGGTCCAGTTCCAGCCCTTGTGCCAGTTGGTCTTGCAGGTGTAGGAGGTGCGGCAGTCTTCCCACCAGCTCTGACAGTCCTCTTTGCACAGGGGCACATTCAGGAAACGTTCTTTGCGCCAGCTCTGGTTCACCTGGGTGAGAGGTGGGATAGGAAGGCTCCTCTCAGCCAGGTGTGTTGGCAGCCACAGCCTTGACTGAACTGGAAGGCAGGCTGCTGGGGTGGAGTGGGATGAGATGAGGGAGACACCTGTACCTGCTGGATCCAGGGCCCCAGGTTGGGGGAGCACTCATAGAGACAGTTGTCCTGGATGAAGTGGCGCTTGCAGGCGGGCTCCATCTTGCCACAGTGGTCCCAGTTAAAGTTATAGAGCCGGGAGTTGTCCTTGTGCAGCTCCTGGCTGGTGCTGACAGAGCAGCAGGAGTTCTCCCTCCAGGGAGTGCACTGGGTGGGAGGACACAGCACTAAGTCCCTCCCCTGCCACACACTTCTGCCACCCCCAGCCTCTCCCCATTTGGTTCTTGCTCTCCAGCTCCAGGTAGGGTGCCCTAGAAATGCTCACTGTGAGGACTTCTCTCTCCTTGGCCTTCAGGAACTCCCATCTAGGGGAAATACTCAATTGCAACAATGTGATCAGGGGGTTGTGGGAGCCTGGGAGAAACCCTATCTTGAGAAGACAATCAACTATCATTTATACAACCCTTAACACTTTATAAAAGTTCTTACAGTTATTCACTAAAAAAATAGTCACTGAGTACCTATTCTATGCCAGTCACTGTTCTAGACAGAAGACAGCTGACAACACAGAAATACGTGTTCATGGATCTTACATTCTGGTCAGGGAAGACAGACAGTAGGACAGTAAGAGAGAAAAATATGATATGTAAGGATATGATCAATTATATAGGGGAATTTAGAGCAGGGAATGGGTATGAGAAGAATGGTGTGATTGTTGACATTTTAAATAAGGTGGTTTGAAAAGCCTCATTGGAAGGTGACAACTTGAGTGAAAGAGGAAAGGGCCCTGTCTGGGTAGTTCAGTTATTTAGAGCCTCACCCTGAAACACCAAGGTTGTGGGGTTGGTCCTCAGTCAGGGCACATATAAGAATCAACCAATGAACCCTGGCCGGTTTGGCTTAGCGGTTGGAGCATCAGACTGCGGACCAAAGAATCCTGGGTTCGATTCCAGTCGAGGGCACGTACCTCGTACCTCGGTTGTGATTTGTCCCCGGCCCTGGTCGGGTTATGCGGGAGGCAACCAGTCAATGTATCTCTTTCATGCAGATTCGCTCTTTCTCTCTCCTTCTCTCCCTCCCTTCTACACTGTCTGAAGATAAATGGAAAAGTGTCCTGGGTGAGGAGTCAAAAAAAAAAAAAAAAGAAGAAGAATTGCCCTGGCCGGTTTGGCTCAGCGGTTAGAGCGTCGGCCTGCGGTCGGGAGAGACCCGCGTTTGGTTCCCGCTAAGGGCACGTACTTCGGTTGCAGTTTGTCCCCAGCCCTGGTTGGTCGTGTGGGTGGCAGCCACTTGATGTGTCCCTTCACGTCGATGTTTCTCTCTCTCTCTCTCTTCCTCTCTCTCCCTCCCACTCTATCTGTACAAAAAATGGAAAAATATCCTCGGGTGAGGATAAAAAAAAAAAGAATCAACCAATGTCCCTTTCTCTAACATCAATAAATTTTTTCAAAAGATACAAAGTGAGCCCTGACCGGTTTGGCTCAGCGGTTAGAGCATCGGCCTGCGGTCCGGAGAGACCCGGGTTCGGTTCCCGCTAAGGGCATGTACCTCGGTTGCAGTTTGTCCCCGGCCCTGGTTGGTTGTGTGGGTGGCGACCACTCGATGTGTCCCTTTCACATCAATGTTTCTCTCTCTCTCTGTTCCTCTCTCTCCCTCCCACTCTATCTGAACAAAGAATGGAAAAATGTCCTTGGGTGAGGATGATAAAAAAAAAAAGATACAAAGTGAGTGATGCAATAATATATGGTGAATAACCTTATTCTTGGCAAGTATTAAGATTTGTGTCCCCTGCAGTGACTAGGCCAGTACAAGACACACAGTAGGCCCACAGAAACATCTACTAAAAACAAGTAAATGAGCCCTGGCCAGTTTGGCTCAGCGGTTAGAGCATCAGCCTGCGGTCCAGAGAGACCCGGGTTTGGTTCCTGCTAAGGGCATGTACCTCAGTTGCAGTTTGTCCCCTGCCCTGGTTGGGTCATGTGGGAGGCAGTCACTCGATGTGAAAAAATACAAAAATTTTCAAAAGTAAATGAAAAACATATTTATGATTTCCTGATCTAAACTGAACTACATCCTACATATAGACATACCATACTTTAGTGCTTTTAATATAGACCAGATTTTCCAGGAAACAAAAACCATGAAATGGAAAGCTGTACTAGATGCTTTGCATTACTGGAGTTAATCACTATTGTAGAAAAGTGGGTCATCAATGGCAACATTGCTTAGAGTATCATATAGCATTTATGTTGCTAATAGAATACACCTATATCAATCTTCATTTGTAGCTGCCCCAATCATAGTGATTTTGTGAATAAAAGAAACACATGCTATTTCACAATGACTTCCAATGTAGCCATACCAGAGAACTGACATATTGAAATGTAGTTATTTTATTATAAATTACTTTCTCTTTGCTTTTCCTTTGCATTACAGGTACTTATGCTGATATTTTTTAATTAAATGTGCAAATAGATTCTGTTAGCTTTGAAGTTCATTCCATGATAGAAAAGAGAGTCTAAACAATCTTTGTCATAAAAAGGAGCCATGAGTCTAAAAGGATTGTAACCAAGTGGCATGAATTTTTATAGAATGTGTGAAAGGGCAATGTCTCTGCCCTGTGCCACAGTCATAAGGGGCCTTCTCCTTTGCCCACAGCGCTGCATGGACTGGCACACAGTGGAAGTAGGAAAAACCATCCTCCCCAAACCCCAGGAGGTTCACCCCAGTTCCTCTGTGTGTCCATATACTCCTCTGGCCCTCAGCTTCCTCATTTGTGTCATGTGGAAAATGTCATCTACCTACCTCAAAATACCACTGAAAAAAATAAATATTGTACAGAAAACACACGACACCTAATAGGGACTTGATAAATGATTATTCCATATTTTTGCTGATATGATATCCTGTTCTGAGGAGGCCGCTTTCAAAATCTCCTGTACCACTTCCCAACCTTGATCTTCTCAGCGATAACTCAGAGTATGGGCTGCCTGACCCCTCAGCCCTTGCCCCACCACCAAACGTCATCTTCCTTGTCAGCACCGGTCCCGTCCCCAATCAGCACCACACTGCAGTCACACCTGGTCATGCAGCTTGTCCTCAGGGCCTGGCTTTGTCTTGTGGTGTTTGGCGTCCATGCAGACGTTGAGCAGGTCTGTCCTGTCTCTGGCACCGCACATGGAGGCTGCAAACCAGACCAGCAGCAGCAGAGGCGATGTCCCTTTCCAGGCCATGTCTTTGTGTCCCTACAGATGAAGCTGTGGTCAAGGAGAACAAGGCCTGAGGAGAGAGAGCCGATGCAGGGTGCTCCCTTCACCCCGACTCAGTCTTCCCATCTCCACAGTGAAGGATGGGGTCAGACCCTGTTCCTTCAGTGCTGGGGTCCTGAGGCCCCCTGAGACTGAGGTAGATGACACTGGAAAAGGGGGCTCTCCTCACCCCAGGCTTGGAGGGTTCAGAAGGGAATCCCAAGGTCAGTAGGTGGACCTTGGGAGACTGACTCCCAGTTGGAGAAGCTGTTTTGCACCCACACCTTCTGTCTGGGCTTTACCTGAAAAAAAAATTAAGAAAGTAATTAAGCCATGGCTGGTTTGTTCAGCAGTTAGAGCATCAGTCCTCAGACCAAAAAGTGTCTGGTTCGATTCCTAGTCAAGGGCACGTACCTTGGTTGCATGTGATCTGGGTCCCTGGTCAGGTCGTTCAGGAGGCAGCCAATTGATATGTGTCTCGCACACTGTTGTTTCTCTCTTTCTCTGCCTCCCTCCCTCCCTCCCTCCTTTTCTCTCTCCCTTCCACTCTATCTAAAAGAATCAATGGAAAAATATACTCCAGTGAGGATTAAAGAAAAAAAGTAATTAAGTAGTTCAAATCCCTACTTCCTGAAAAGGACCAGGGACACACAGCACCCTTATCCTGTGTTCAGCAAGTGCTCAGCCATTAGACCCTGGATCACCCGGTTCCCATGCCAGCTTAGAAACCCTGTTTTCCTGGGGAAGGCAGTGGCCCTGCTCAGCTGAGTTCTCCAAATCAGCACGAGGATCAAGGGATGTTACACAAACAGGACCATGTTTGGTTAAATGACACAGAAATGGAAAGAGTGGTTGTTTTTTTGTTTGTTGTTGTTTTTTAATTCGCACCCGAGGATATTTTTGCATTTATCTTCAGATAGAGCAGGAGGGAGGGAGAGAGAGAGAGAGAGAGAAAGAGAGAGAGAGAGAGAGAGACCGATATGAGAGAGACACATCGATTGGTTGCCACCTGCATGACCTCAACCAGGACCGGGATGAACCACAACCGAGGTACAGTGCCCTTGTCCAGAAGAGAACCCGGGACTCTTTGGTCTGTGGCTGACACTCTAATCACTGAGCCAAACTGGTCAGGGCAAAATGGCGGTTTTTAAACAGCTTTGCTCCCTCCGACTTTTTCCTTCTCTATTTCCTGAAAACCGAGTCCTCCCTCCACCCCACGGTGACTCTGGCCCCCTCAGCCCTCTGAGAGCTGGACTAGAGCACCAGATTGCAGCCTGAAACCTCAGAAACATATGCAGACCCTTGGACCAGAAGAACAACATGAAAGTCTCCCATGTTAACCAGCCTACCAAATAGGCACTGAGTGTCATGGGAGGCACCTGGCAAAAGTGACAATCCTCTTGTCTGTCCAGGATGGCAGGTCACCCCCACTCCCACCCATTACAGATCTGTCCTTTGGGCTCAGTCGATGGAGTGCTGAGTTGATGACAAAGAGCCATTCCTCTCCCTCACCATTCCCACATGCAATTGATCACCACGCCCTGGCAAGGGTTCTTTCAAAAACCTTTCTATAATTCACTTCCCTTGGCTCTGGTCTGGGGTCAGGTCTTCCCTCCTCCAATGTTTTTTCTTTCAAGTCACCTTCCCCACAGGAGCCAGAGTGACCTCTCTGAAGAAAGACATGCCTGGCCCTGACACACAGACCCACCAAGTTGCCCCAGTGTCCCTGTCACCCTTCCTTCCTGAGGGCATCTTGCCTGAGCCTCCTTTGCTGATGGGCGCACACACTGCTGTGGCTGGACTGTCCCCTTCCTCTGGCAACAGCTCCTGGACTGTCCCCTCTGGTCTCTGTCCTCAGGGCAGGATACACTATGAGAGCTCTGAAAGTGCTTATGCACAGAAAGTATCCTGCGTTTAGCATGTTCTGCTTCCAACTTCCTTCCGTTCTAGACCCCACCGTCAAGTTAGCCAATCTTGTTTGACTTCATCCCTCCCTGTGTTCATTTACTCATTCCAGGATCCACACACCCAACATTCATCAAAATCTAGAGAACCACTCATCTCCTAGGGGAATCTGAAATGTTGAGGTTCTACAAGTGGTTGTTAGGATAAAGCTAACTTGAGGGGGATGAGGTGTGGAGGGAAAACCCAGGCTTTAGGATCAGGACATGGGACCCAACATCAGCTCTACCCTTTAAAAAACCTTGGGAAATGTCATTAAACCTTGCAAAGCTCTTGCTGGCTGACCAGAAAATTGTTGAGAATTTATCTGGAAAAGCCTGGCACATACCAAGTAGGCTTAAATGACAACTATCATGTTAATTTATGAGCAATGAGGTGGACATAGGTAGAAGTTAAGGTACAGAAGTCAAGGGTCACAGAGAAAAATTGCCTCAGATTTGAGAAATGATAATATCTCACCACATAACATTTCTTTAAATGCTGCCCAGCTGGTGTGGCTCAGTGGTTGAGCGTTGACCCGTGCACCAAGAGGTCGCCAGTTCGATTCCCGGTCAGGGCACATGCCCAGGTTGTGGGCCCCATCCCCAGGGGGTGGCCAGTTAGTGTTCTCTTTCATTGGTGTTTCTATCTCTCTCTCCCTCTCCCTTCCTCTCTCTAGTATATCAATAAAGTTAAAAATAAAATAAAATTAAATTTAAAAATAATTAAGCAATTTTTGATAGCCTTTTCAAAATTGTGGTAAAATACACATGATGTAAAATGTACCATCTTAACCATTTTTAAGTGTACTGTTCTGTTAAGTACGTTCATATTGTTTCACAACTAATATCTGGAACTTTTCCATTTTGTAACACTGAAACTCTGTTCTCATTAAGCAACTACTCTGTTTCCTCCTTCCCCCAGTCCTTGGCAACCACTATTTGACTTTCTGTCTCTATGAATTTTACTGCTCTAGATACCTTCTACAAGTAGTAACATACAGTATTTGTCTTATTGTGACTGGCTTCTTTGACTACATAATATTCATAAAGTTCATCCATATATCAGAATGTCATTCCTTTTTATAGCTGAATAATGTTTCATTGTGTGTATATACCACATTTTATTTATTCATTTACTAATCAGTGGATATTTGGGTTGCTTCTACCTCTTGGTATTGTGAAGAATGCTGCTATAAACAAGAGTGTACAAATATCTCTACAGGCCTGGCCCGTGTGGCTCAGTGGTTGAGCATCAACCCATGCACCAAGAGGCCGCTGGTTCGATTCCCAGTCAGGGCACATGCCCAGGTTGTGGGCCCGATCCCCAGTTGGGGGCATGCAGGAGGCAGCCAATCAATGTTCTCTCTCATCGATGTTTCTCTCTCTCTCTCCCTCTCCCTTCTTCTATCTCTTAAAATCAATTTTTAAAAAGAAAGAAAATAAAATAAAATATCTCTACAGAACCCTGCCTTCAATTCTTTTGGGTGCATACTCAGAAGCGGAAGAGCTGGATCATGTGGTAATTCTATTTTTAATGTTTGAGAAACTGTCATGCTCTTTTCCATAGCAGCTGCACAAGTTTACATTCCCATCAGCAGTGTACTAGAGTTCCAATTTCTTCCTATCCTCACCAACAATTGTTATTTTCTGCTGGATTTTTTTCAAAAAATAGAAGCCATCCTAGTAGGTATCAGGTGAAATCTCATTGTGGTTTTGATTTGCATTTCCCCAGTGATTAGTAATATTGAGCAAGCTTTCATATGCTTGTTGGTCATTTGTACATCTGCTTTGGAGAAATGTCCATTCGAGTCCTTTCCCCATTTTTAAATCAGGTTATACATTTTTTGTTGTTGAGTTGAAGGATTAGCCCCTTGTCAGATATATGATTTGCAATACTTTCTCCTGTTCTTTAGGTTACCTTTCACTATAATTGTTCTTTGATGCACAGAGGTTTTTAATTTTGATGTAATTTAATTTACCTCTTTCTTTCTTTCTTTCTTTTGTTGCCTATGCTTTTGCTCTTATAACCAAGAAATCATTGCCTAATAAAGCTCTTGCCCTAAGGAGTTTTAATGGTTTTAGCTCTTATGAATTAGGTCTCTGATTCATTTTATGTATGGAGTAAAATAAGGGTCCAACATAATTTTTGTTGTTGTTGTTTAGATAGAGTAGGAGGGAGAAAGAGAGAGAGAGAGAGAGAGAGAGAGAAACATCGACATGAAAGGGACACATCGAGTGGCTGCCACCCACACAACCCAACCAGAGCCGGGGACAAACTACAACCAAGGTACATGCCCTTAGCGGGAACCAAACCCAGGTCTCTCTGGACCACAGGCTGATGCTCTAACTGCTGAGCCAAACTTGCCAGGGCCCAACATAATTTTTTTGCATGTGACTATCCAGTTGTGTCCCAGCACCATATTTAGAAAATACTATTCTTTGAATTGTCATTTATCCCAGTGAATTGTCTTGACACCATTGTAGAAAATCTGGACTCTAAGTTCTATTCCATTGATATGTATATCCATCCTTTCACTACTACCAGGCTGTCTTTTTTGTTTTGTTTTGTTAATCATCACCCAAGGATATTTCTTCCATTGATTTTTTTTTTATTTTTTTTAGAGAGTGGAAGGGAGTGAGAGAAGGGGGAGGGGGGGAGAGAGAGAGAGAGAAACACTGATGTGAGAGAGATACATCTATTGGTTGCCTCCCACAGGCGCCTCTGTCAGGGTGGGGATCAAACCTACAACCCAGGTATGTGTCCTTGACTGGATATCAAACCCAAGACACTTTGGTTCCTGGGCTGACTTTCTTACCACTAAGCCTCATGGGCCAGGGCCAAGCTGGTCTTGATTGTTGTAGTTTTGTAGTAATTTCTTTTTAATCCTTACCTGAGGACATGTTTATTGATTTTAGAGAGAGGTATAGGGAGAGAAAGAGAGAGAGAAGAGAGAAGAAACATCAGTATGAGAGAGAAACATCGATCGGTTGCCTCCTGACCAAGTATTGAACCCACGCCCTAGGTATGTACCCTGACTAGGAATTGAACCCGCAACCTTTTGGTGTAAGGGATGACACTCAACCAACTGAGCCAACATTGGTCAGGGCCTTTGTAGTAAGTTTTGAAATCAGAAAGTGTGAGTCCTCTAATTTGGTTCTTCATTAAGATTGTTTGGGCTATTATGGGTCTCTTGCATGTCCATATAGATTTTAGGCTCTGATTGTCAATTTCTCCAAAAAAGCCAGCTGTAATTTAATAAAAGATTGAGTTGAGCCCAGCCAGTGTGGTTCAGTGGTTGAACATTTTTTTTTTTTATCCTCACCCGAGGACATTTTTCCATTTTTTGTTCAGATAGA